ATTTTGCGAAAGTGTGTTTCTTATATAATTCCGGAAAGAACTTTCTGGAACAGTAACTTTAGTATTCTGGAAAGTACTTTCCAGAATTATGTAACAAAACTTTTTCGGAAAATACTTTTTAGAATAAGAATTTACTATTATGGAAAGTATTTTCTGGAATAAAAACTTTATTATTTCAAAAAGTAATTTTCAGAATAAAAACTTTACTATTCCAGAAAGGGGGGTGCGGGAAAAAGAAAGAAGAAGGGGGGTGCGGGAAAAAGAAAGAAGAAGGGGGGTGTGGGAAAAAGAAAGAAGAAGAGGGGTGCAGGAAAAAGAAAGAAGAGGGGTGCGGGTGCGGGAAAAAGAAAGAAGAAGAAGGGTGCGAGGAAGAGAAAGAAGGGGGGTGCGGGAAAAAGAAAGAAGAAGAGGGGTGCGGGAAAAAGAAAGAAGAGGGGTGCGGGTGCGGGAAAAAGAAAGAAGAAGAAGGGTGTGGGGAAGAGAAAGAAGAGGGGTGCGGGGTGCGGGAAAAATAAAGAAGAAGAGGGGTGCGGGGAAGAGAAAGAAGAGGGGTGCACGGAAGAGGAGTGCAAGGTGCAAATTTAAGAATTATATATATTTTTTTTTTTAAAAAAAAAGGTAATTTAGAGATTTTATATATATATTTTTTTAAAAAAGGGTGTGTTTATATGAAAACGGAAGTGTATTTATCATCACCCTATTTTTTAATCCGGAACAGCTCGTTCTGATTTCAGAACAGCCCATTTCGAATGTGAACAGTAAATGATACTAGTTGGGGAAATAAATTTGCACAGTTGCTATTTAGGTAAAAAAAAAATTAAAATAGTATTATTTGTGTAAAAAATTCAGTGCATGACAATATTTTTTAATAAATATTATTTAATTTGTTAATTTTAAAGTAAAATAAATCAAATGATAGATCAACACAAACTTAATAATATTGTGCTTATATATATTTTTTTAAAAAAAATATGAAATAACACTCTTAATTTATAAATAAAATTATTTACTATAAAATATTTAAAATATGTAATAATACATATGTTCTTTTGTTGATTAATTTTGTGTTACAAATGCAATCTCAATCTTTACTATTTTATATATTAAAAAATACTTGCATAAATACGACAAATTACATCTAAAAACATGCAAGATATATGTTTATAAACTGATTCATATGATTTTGAACTTGTAAGCATTCTCTCTTATCTCTTACATTAAATAAGTAATCTTCTCGTATCTTTCATATGCCTCCTCGTAGCTTCGTTCCTAAAAAGATTAAAAGATGAACCAAATATATATATGTCAATTCAATAATTTACAAACATTTTTTGGTTCTAAGAATAAGTGTAATTGTTTCATTTTGAAAAGAAATTGTAATTATTCTCATAAGTAGTATAGTTCATTAATTTAAAATATTAATATGGTTTACTGGATAAAAATATTACCATACAACCTTAACAAATCATGTACAAAGTGAATCAAAATTAAACTTAACAAAAAATGAATAATGTAGAACCAATGCTATCATGCATATTTTCCTTTTTAGTTTTTAATTACACCATTATTCATAGTTAGCTCTTTTCACTACAACAAAATTTATTATTACCGACAATTATTTAACGGTAATAAATTGATTGCCTCTATTTTATGATTTAATAAAAATATTAATGACTAATATATAATGACCACTAAAAATATACTTACATCACACCAAAATTTACTATTAGCGACAATTATTTATTAAAAAAACTTAAGTCCCACATCGACTAGAAATAAGAAAATTAAAGAGTATATAAGTGGATGATAACTCTCACCTTAATTACAAGTTTGTTTTATAGGGTTAAGTTAGACCTATAACTTACTATTCTAAGTTGATATTAAATAACTCATCATTACTAAACTCAATAGTGATAATTAAATAAGAAAATTAAAGAATATATAAGTAAAAGATAACCTTCATCTTACAAGTCTCACATCGACTAAAAATAAGATAATTAAAGTATTATGAATCATTTCTTAAACTTTTAGTGGCAATAAATATTAAATGCCGGTAAAAAATGTCACGAAATGTTTTACATTTTTGCCAACCATTATAAGGGTCTTTACCAGCATATAAAATAATTGTCGTTAAATGTTTTAGCGACATTGCATATAATGGCTAATGTGAAAATGCCGGTAAAAGATTTTGTAGCAATTTTTATCACCACTAAAAGTCATATTAAATATCACTAAAAGTTCATTTTGTTGTAGTGTGGGTAGAGGAAGATCCCTTAGGATTATGAACAATTTTATAATTATTTTTGTTTGGAGAATTATTGGTCTTATGTGATTCTGTATGTATTTAGGACTAATATATGATTAATTTGTAAAAATGATGCTCTGGGAGAGAGAACGAAATTATAGAAAAGTGTCTGTAAGTTAGGTTTTGGAAAAATTGGATTATTTCTGTTTGAGGAATTAATGATACCATTAGATTCTGTATGTGTTGAGGATTAGAAATATATATTTAATTTGTAAGAATGATGATCTAGGAGAGAGAATAAAATTGTAGAAAAGTGCCTGTGAGTTAGGTTTTGGAACAATTGGGGGTTTTACTATTTATGTTAAGATTACATTAAATTGATAATTCCATTGATTATTATATTAATTTATGAATGTTATTGCTATATTACTTGATAAAAATTGATAATTTAGATGTGAATTGCTTGAGGTGTATGAAACCCATTATTTTGGACTTATTTGATGTGTGTATAGAATTGAACTATGAGATGTTGTGTGGAATGTGAATGAGATGTGATTGTGGTTCTTCACACCTATGACCAGGGGTGAGCACGGCCCGAGATTGTTACATGGGTATCGTGACCTTGTTTAACATGTCAGGGGTGAGCACGGCCCTGGGTTAGGGGTAATGTGACCTTGGCACAGTGTTATATCAGGGGTGAGCACGTCCTTGGATTGTTACGTGGGTGTCGTGACCTTGAATAACATGTCAAGGGTGAACACGACCCTGGGCTAGATATGCTACAGGGGAATCGTGACCTTAGCACAGTGTTATATCAGGGGTGAGCACGACCTTGGATTGTTAAATGGGTAGCGTGACCTTGGCATAGTGTGAAGTGCAAGATTTGTGATGATTGGTGTGATTGAGAATTATGACGTGATGACGATGCATGATTGATTGAAATACGAGATGTTGAAATATTTATGAATATTAAGTTATAATGAGATAATATGTTGTGTTTTCTTATGTGCTATATATATAGATGTTTTCTTTTCTCACCATACGATTTGTGGATGTTTTAGGTGAGGAAGATCCGACTTTGAGTGGCACCTAGAATGCCAACCGTTGAGTTGTGGGTGTGCTCTGATATTGTGACATCGAGGTAGAGAATTCTAGGATAAATTTTTTATATGTATTTAAAGTTATACCTTTTCTTTTAAAACCAATTTGTAAACTCTCAAGTTTTATTTTCAATTATTATGTTGGTTATTAATAAATATATATGAAGGTTTTATGTGAACCTTTTTACCAACGTTGAAAATTTTATTCTTTAGTTTATTTACATGATTAATATTTATATATGTGTTGGGGTAGTAAGGGTGTTACACCTGCTGCAATAAATTTGGCAGCACTGATTCCGCTTTCCTGGGATATGCTGACGCAAACTTTCAGATTTTGTCCGTTAGTGAATTTTTCAATTACCAAAAATTTGAATTCCCCCTTTTTTAAATTTCACATCGGGCTTTTATTGCGCTTTGGCCCATTTTGCTCTTTCATATAACATTGCACCTTGCCCTTCTGGGTACTTTCTACTATTTCTTCGCACTCATTTCATTTTTTACCTTCGATTTCTTCTCCTTTGTAATAATTACTCCTTTTCAGAAAAGTGGATTCAGAGGTATCTGAATCTTCTTCCGAGAGCCCTCGAAGTACCCCTACTTCTCCTACCACTGCTCCATCTTCTCGAGATGTTATTGAAATTCGTGAATCAATGTCTCCTCCTGAACGTCCTTTCGAGGTATGTTTTGTTGACTTTCGATTTCACGTTTTTGGCCGTTCTCAAACTTGTGCACACTACTACAAAAATACTATTTCACATCGCCATATTTACATCGGTTCTAGTAGAACTGATGTAAATCATAAATGCGATGGCAAACTTGTAAATAGATAGAAAATACAAACATATTTACATCGGTTTTGCTTATGATCGATGTAGAAATGAAATCCGGGGAGTTATTCTACATCGGTTTTGCTTATGAACGATGTAGAAATGAGACCCTAATTTTCTCGTGCAGTGCTCACTACCCTTTCACTCGCGACGTAAACCCAGCCGCCTCCTCCCACTCCCACTCCCACTCCCAATCCCTCTCCCCCATCCACCTAACCCTAAACCTCATGCTCTCCTCCGGCCTCGCCCCCGACGTCGCCACCATCGACATCGCCACCGTCGACATCGCCGTCCTCCACCGCGAGGGCTTCAAGCTCGATTGCATCGTGCGGCGGCTCTGAGACGCGAACTCGTCAGTGCGTTCCGCGTGCGTGAATTTCGTCGCGGCATTGTCGCGCCATGTCAGCAAGCAGCCGTTAGGTTCATTCGTGAAGCCGTTGGCGGAGGCGCTATTCACTGAGCAAGACCAGAACACGCAGGCTGGCGCGGCCCTGTGTCTCGCTGCCGCGATCGACGGAGCTATGGATCCCTACTTGGTGGTGTTGCTGAGCAGCGACGATTGGTCAACACAGAAGGCCGTGGCGGAGGCTCTCGTGGTTGTTGCCAATAATGTGGAGAGGGAGTTCTTTGCCGAAGTTCAAGGCTGAGTGTATGAAGGTTTTCGAATAAATCATATATTCTGGGAAGCATCCAAACATCTTTTTTGTTTTTAGTTATCATATTGTTTCATTCATCAGTCTAAAATATGTATGAATTATACATTTTGCATAAGAATATTGTAACTTTCTTGAGTATATTCTAATCCATGTGCTTTTTACCAGAATATCTTCACGTGATACTGGAAAAACAATGGTAGATGCCTCTTTAGGTGAAATAATGACAACATGTGAGAAGATAAATTGGCTACTATCAGAGGGTGAGAAGTGGCTAAAGCCTGAGTATAGGTGCCTTACTCAATCTTCTTCTTCTTCTTCTTATTTTTCCCTTTGAATTTAGATCTAAAATGCAGTAGATCTATACAGATATTTTTTCTTGTATGTGGGTAAACCATAACCTCTTCACCCCCAACCTAGTAATTGATACTTTCTCTATGCAAGTCTGCATAAAGGGACTGGTAGATTATCTGTCGCAGTTTATTTTATTTTTTTAATGTGTTCTTTTTTGGGTTCTAGCACTGAAATTGTAAAATTTTATAATTTTATCATACATTCTACTGATTATTTTAGAAAAGAGAGGCATTTCATTTTTTATACACTGACTTTTTATGGTAAAATTACAAATTTTCTAAATGCACTTTCATGATTACTTTGTTTTTTTGATAAATAAAAAACTTACAGATCCTCTGGAAGAGCAATGCTTCATAAAAGAGCCAGAGTAGAATTTCACCCTCTGGGTGTTATCGGTGCCATTGTGTCATGGAACTATCCTTTCCACAATATTTTTAATCCTATGTTGGCAGTAGTTTTTTCTGGAAATGGCATTGTGATTAAGGTATAAAATGACATATATTTGCTATCTGCCTATCTAGAATTGTTCATTCCATGAATGCACCACATTTTTTAAAGAATAGACATTGTTGACTGATATGCTCTCATGGTATATTAACATTCATTGACAAACTTGTATCCAAACTAAGACGCTACAAGGATTAATACTGCTCTTACTATTTACTATAAATTTATGTTTGCAATTTGACAGAAATGTGATTCTAAATGTAGATTTCAGAAAATGCAAGTTGGTCTGGGTAAAATTTGTGAAAAAAATCTCTGGGGAAAAAGTTTGTGAGGTTCTGTAAATTTGGAGGCAAAAAGTAAAGTCAACAGGGAAAAAAAATAGTAACCTCAAGTTTCTCTATACCTCTTGTTTAGAGTGATGTCTTGGAAGCAAAAGGAATGCAAGGTATATATCAACCTTTTAATACAATAAGAAGTCTTTGTGCTCTGATGATATGATTTATTCTGATTATATATTTTTTTTTCTAATGTTTATTACGGAACTTAATCCAACCTCTTCAGGCCAAAGCTGATTGTTGCTAGAGCTAGTGCTTATGCGCGCCTATATGATTATGAACGTGTACGCAAGGTAATATGCATACACAAGTATACCGTACAGGATGATTTTATAAATTGATTGTATGTTAGGATTTTTTTTACTTTTACCTTTTACTTTGAATGATTGTATTTATAATTTTATATGGAAGTCCCAAGGTTAAATTCGTGAAGCATATTACAGGTTTGCGATAAGCAGAAAGCTGTATTATTGGCAGATATGGCACACATCAGTGGATTGGTCGCAACTGAGAAAATTTGTTCCTTATTCAACTCGTGTGATTCATGTAGCCAACCTCATTTATTAAGATAAGGCTATAGTTGTTACTCTGTTTTTTTTTTGTCTGTTTGGTGTAGAAACTTGTGATTTCGTGTATATTATTTCAATCTCTGTAAAGCCACTATTAGATCGACTTTAGTGGTTCTATGATGTTCTGCTTGCTAACAAGTTACAATATTTTTATCATTTGTTTTTTGGGGTTACACTTCAGTTGGGAATGATAATTATTTTGTCTAGAGCTATATATATGTTCATTATAGGTAATCAGAAATAATTCAAAAATAAGCATAATTTTTTTTAAATGCAATCTACATCGGTTCTCAAGAAAATCGATGTAGATTTAAGCATTAATCTGCATCGGTTCTTTGGAGAACCGATGTAGATTTATGCTTAAATCTACATCGATTTTTCAGAATCGATGTAAAAATGTATACATTTTCTACGTCGCTTTATTCTACATCAGTTTTAGAACCGATGTAGATGACTTTAGAGAACCGATGTAGAATATGCATCTTGTAATGGTGGCATCATTACAATGCTTTTCTTAACAGGCGGTTTCTTCCAATGTTCTTACGGCCACTATTCCTATCGCCATGCCAACCGTTGAACCTTCCCCTCCAGGTACTTTGCAAGGTGATGCACCCTCCTTCAATTTTGACACAGGGGTGTCCTCTAGTCAAGGTGGGTAATTGTTTCTTGGGCTTCATGCTTATTCCAAAGATTACCTTCGACTTGATAAAATATCCCTTTTTTTTTTCTTTCCGTGCAGGTCTAGAAGTAACCTTTGAGGATAAACAAACTCCTCCCTCCGGTCAACCTGCGAGCTCAACTGATGCTGTCCCTTCTGATACTCTGCTAGCTTCTATTCCTCCTGATGACATAGACCTCATAAGCTTCTTTGATGACAAAGCTGCTCAGGATGACATTTTCGAGGTCTTGGAGAATTGGACTAGCGGATCCTTGGCCTCGGGAAAAACCCAAGAAACTGTTGCGAGCTTTCAGCCTCTGTTATCTTTCTTCCGTTCGAAGGCCTATGTGGATCATCTCGACCAAGCTCTCATGGACCCCCAATTCAAAATAGAGATTGAGTAGATGGTTGATGATTTGAATGCATTTCCTGATCTTCCTCCGGAGGTAACCACAAAGTTAAATGAATATGTGCATACTTTTGCTGCTGCCTCCGAATTGCACACAAAGTGGTTCACTTCGAATCAAGAGATGGCTCAGATAGAGGCTGATACTGAAAAGGATCAAACCAATTTGGAAAAGCTCAAGACAAAACTTCTTTCGATCAAGGACTCCACTTCTCAGATAGTTCCAGAATCGATGAAGCTTAAGCAATCTGAGGAAGAGACGGAGTGTACCCTTGTTGTCCTGCAACGAGAGCTTGATTCGATCAAGTCCAAACATTCTGCTTTGAAGCTTCAAAGACAAGAGATCATGTTGAAGCAAAAAGGTTTGCAGGAAGAAGGAAAAGGCATATCTCTCAAACTCTCGAAGTCATTAGATCAAAAGAGAAGATTGGAAGTATTGTGTGCTTCGCGGAAACAAAGTCTCGATCAAGCCTATCAGGCATATGAAGCACTCAAATCAAAATTCTGCAAATGATCAAGAAGCTGAGAGATGCCTATTTATATTTTAATATTTATCCGCTTGTACCTTTATTGCTTATCTCTTTGAACACTCGTCTCAGTACATGCTACTTTTCTTTTTCAAGTATTTTCCATTGATCACTTTACTTGTATTTCTCGAATTTATCTCTTTGATCAAATATGCGTTGTTCGAGTAGAGTCTTTCGATGACGAACGGTCCTTCCCAATTATAGGTCCATTTACCACGATCTCGAGATTTTTGGTCCATTGGGAGGATAACTTTTAAGACTAAGTCTCCACTCGAAAATTGTTTGCTCCTGACCTTTTTGTTATAAACTCGAGCTATTTTCTCTTTCTGGTAATGACATTTTGCATGGCTATCATTCTTTCATCATCCAGTCGAATTAGTTCATCATACATTAAATTCCAATAATCCTCGACTGGTAACTCATTTTGCCTTTGCACGGAACAGATTGTAAATTGATATCAATAGGCAAAATTGCTTCGTGACCATAAACCAATTTTTATGGCGTAGTTTGAGTGGCATCCCTTGGTGAATTTTTGTAAGCCCACAATACTTGCAGTAATGTTTCATGCCAATTTCGAGGTTTCCCTGAAATATGTTTCTTGATCAAAGCTATGATCACTTTGTTAGCAGCCTCGACTTGGCCATTAGCTTGTGCATAGTAGGGTGTCAAAGTAATCAGTTTGATTCCTCTCAACTGAGCATATTGCACCACTTTTCGACCTGTGAATACCGTTCCTTGATCTGTAGTTATTGTCTAGAGTATTCCGAATCAAAATATAATATGGTCTTCAATAAAATTTATCACCTCTTTTTGATCGACCTCTTTTACAGGAATTGCTTCCACCCACTTTGTAAAATAATTGATGGCCACAATTATGTACTTATGGTTCTTTGCTGATGGAGGATGGATCTGACCAATTACGTCAATTGCCCAACCTCGAAATGGCCAAGGTTTAACAATTGCATGCAACTCGGTTGCTGGTACTTGATGTATTGGGCCATGCTTTTGACACTCTTCGCAACCTTTTGCAAATTCGATACAGTCCTTGAACATACTTGGCCAAAAGTATCCTTTTCTGGACAAAGTCCATTTCATTTTCTCCCTCGCTTGATGAGCACCACAAATACCTTCATATACCTCTACCATGGCTATGTAGCTCTCATGATTTTCGAGGCACTTAAACAAAACTCCACCAAAACCTCTCTTGTATAGTTCATCATTCAATATCACATAATTGAGAGCTCGATATTTAATTTTTCTTTCAGCGTGCGAATTTGGACTTTGCAGATACTCGATTAGTTCTTTCCTCCAGTCTTGAATGGTTGAGGTGTCAATGGTGAGGCATTCGTGCTCGTCACTCAACTCATTCCTTATACAAACTAGAGATTCGAGACATTCCCTGCTTATCTTGTATCCGGATGCAATCTGAGCTAATTCATTTGCAATTTCTTTCTCGTTACGAGAGATGTGTTCTAATTGGACTTCGTCGAATGAATTTAACAGAGCTGTAGCTCGAGACTTGCATTCGAGTAACTTTTCATTCATGCATTTATATTCTCGAGTAACTTTTCAAACCTCTCAAGAAGAGTCACAAGGATTTTCTGCACTATCCTTGTATCGGAAAATTCTGTCCCAAACAACCTCACCGTGTTTACAATGCTTAGAAGTCTGTCAGAATATTCTTTCACCCTTTCTGACTCCTTCATCCGCTGCATCTCAAACTCCTTGATCAAATTCAGCACTTGCATCCTTTTGACTCTCTCATTTCTTTCATACTCTTGTTTGAGAAAATCCCAGATAGCCTTTGCTGACTTTAGAATCACAATTCTGATGAAGATTGATTGAGAAACAACAGAAAATAGACAAGACTTTGCCTTTGATTTTCGCTGCTTTCTTTCCTTATGATACTTGATTTGATTAAGTGTTGGATTTTCTGGCAATTGACCAACCTCATAATCCTCCTCAACAGCTTCCCAAAGATCATTTGCATCAAGAAAAACCTCCATTCTAACTGCCCACAGGTGATAATTCTCACCATCAAATGCTGGTAGTGTTTTGGACAGAATAATCATATTGCATTTTCAATTCTCAATATAAGTGTTTAGGTGTTTAGTGGAACTCTCAACCTTACCAAGTCCCTCAAACAAAATAAGCTCTTGATACCAATTGTAGGAATTTAGAAAAATTAGAAGGCTAAAACTCATGTAATTTTATTCATACTTGTAACCTTTAAATACACAAAATATAATTGAAAGCTGATACAAATTCTGCTCATAAACATAAAACTAAATGACAAATGTAAATACTCATAAAACTGTAACAACACCTATATTCCTATAATTAAAATTCATAACCTAATGCTCCATTAATCTAAAATAAACTCAAATAATAGATGTTGATTCAGATTCTCAAAAGTTAGTGTTTATATTTGATAATGGTATAGATATATATCTATCATCCACCACAACCAGCTAATAGCAGAGTGAGAGGAAGCAACCTATAAGCTATGAGCAGACATAATTGGAATAGCAAGTAACAAAATAACCGATATCGTACACATGATCACAAGGCACGATGAACCACAATTTCTTCTGTACGTCAAATTTTAAGCACCACCATGTGAACTTGCATGCATGAAGCTTGCGGTCCCCTCCACCATAAATAAGTGTCAACATCATCCAATTCGTCTTTCTTTACATAGAAACTTGTGTTTTATTTCAAGTAGGGTAATCTGATGGCTTTCACTTCAAAACGTGGGATTTTTGTTATCTATAATAATATGTTAGGTTGATTCATGGAATAGTCCTCTAAGACATAACCATATGCTTTTGTCTCTCTGCGGGTCCCATGACTCCTATCTAATAGCTAGGGGTGTTCAAATTGTTAAACTAAACTAAACTAAAAGAAAACTAAACTAAACTATAATAAATAGTTCACTAAACTAAATTGAACTAAAATAAATATTGACTAAACTAAACTAAACTATTATCTAAATTAGTGCACTATAGTTCTAGGAGTTTGAACTAAACTATAATATCAATTAAATTAAACTATTATTAATTATAAATTAAACTATTATTAATTATAAATTAAATTATTGTTAATTATAAACTAAATTGAACTATATTAAAAAAAAAAAATATTGATTCTAATGTTTATGAACGCAATATAATAATAAATGAGAAATAAAATTTTTAAATATAATGTTGCATGTGATTATATTATGTTTAAATAATTTTTTTGTCGTATATTTTAATTTAAAGAAAATGTTATTAATTTTTTTATTCCTTTATTATAAATGTCATGATGATGACAAATGATTAGAATGTTAGATAATATTCAAACAGAAATTTACGATCTAATTTGTTTAAAATTTGATATAATATAATCTATTTAATTAAAATGTCAGATTTAAATATTTAAAAAATTTATTTATTTAAAAAGATTAAACTTAAACTTATAAAAAAAATTATAAAATCTGATAAACTAACTTATTTATCTATACGATATAATAAAAAAATAATGTATATATATATATATTAAATAATTAGGGCCAATCTTATGGTGAAAGAATTAATTTAAATATTCATATGTCCATTGTAATTTCAATGAATAAATAATAATAATAATAATAATAATGTATGTATTACAAAATTCATAGCAACATTAATTTTTAATTAATAATATAAAATCTTTTACTCCAACACTTTATATTAATTGAAAATTGTTAATTTATTGACAAATGTAACTTTTTTTATATGATGTATAAAAATTAAGCTCAAATCAATATGTTTTGTTCGTACTTTTATTTCACAAAATAAATTTTTTACAATTGTGATGGAATGATTTGAATGATGAAAATTTTTTAATAACATGTATAATATATATTCAATAAATATATCAGAAAATAATAAATTGAGAAAAAAAACTGTTAAATGTAATTTTGATACGTATAATATAAACAACTTTTTTTAGTTGTCAAATCTTTTTAGAATAATTTTGTTTTTATTTATTTATTTATCATTTTAAATTTAAAAGTAATATTAATTATTATTATGTAGTTATATTTTTGTTTTTAATTAATTTATAAATTTACAATGTATTTGTGCTTATTGTGGAATAAAAATGAAAAAGAATTTTGTAAAAACCTTTAAAATTATTTTATATAGAAAACAGAAAAGTTATTATATTTTTTGGTTTATATATAACATTTTAAATGAAACTTTTAAAGGAATGAAAGTAGTATCTTGCTAGCCTAGTAAATGTGTAGTCTCCGCGAGTCCGAAACGAACGTGGTAGTCAGTCTCGGACTCTCCGTGAATGTGTTTAAGACTTTTGCTTGTATTTGATTTTAGTGAACTGAACTATTAATTTTAATAGTTTAGCTTTATAAATTACATTAAAAATAATAGTTTGGTTTAAACTATTAAAAAATAATTTAGTTTATTTTAGTTTAATTTAGTTTAGTTATTTAAAAAGTTTAGTTTTAAATAGTTTTGTGGACACCCCTACTAATAGCCCTCCATCACAAATAATTCAAGTAGCCTTCTCACATATCCTTATATCTATATATATTGGTAGTTGCTAACATTTCAGAACCAAGTGAAATCATTCACAACCTGAAGCATTCAAAATTCACAAACCTTAACTTTCAAGTCTTTTTTAGACAAATTTCTACTCAAGTCTCCACAAGTAGAATACAACTATGGGTTTTCGTTTACCTGGTATCAGAAAGGCATCAGTAGCTGCAAACCAAGCATCTTCTAAAGCTATGGAGGTACCAAAGGGCTATCTTGCAGTGTACGTTGGAGAGAAAATGAAGCGGTTTGTGATCCCCATTTCATACTTGATCCAGCCATCATTCCAAGACTTGTTGAGTCAAGCAGAGGAAGAGTTTGGATATGATCATCCCATGGGTGGACTTACAATTCCATGCAGCGTAGAGGTCTTCCAAGACATAACCTCAACCTCGAATTGACTACAAGTCTAAGTACTGTAGAAGACTGACCAAGTTTTGTAATTTGTATAGACATTTTTGACATTAGTCATCTCAATATGTAAAGATAACACTTTTTTGAGAAACTGGAAAAATGGAAAGACCATCAGAATGACGAATTTGTTCATACCTTTCTCTCTCTCTTTTTTTTTTTGATGAATAACAATGAATTCCACTAATCAAGTGGCCTATTTCGGTTTATTAGTTACATTGCGTAACATGCATACAAAATTAAATTTTTGGGGTGCCAAGGCCCTCATCACAGCCTCCCAATAAAACTCTCCCTAACAACTAAACAATAGGTCCTTTACAATTGACTCATTTATGTTATAAAAGTGTTATCCCAAATATTAACAATAGTTTGATACAGTATTCTCATCCATATAAGATGTTTTTATTTCTAAAGGAATGAAAAGAAAAAGAAACTTAAATGGAAAATCTTAAAAATGAATGAAAGTTCATTATGTTCAAATTTAACTAAGAAAAATATATGATATTTCATTCTCCAATAGTTACAGCCTGATCAAGCAAGAAGTGAGGCATGGGAAATCATCTTCCGTGAATGTAATTGCGAGATCACCCATTGGATATTCATGTTCAAATTCTTCTTCTGGTGTAGTAATGATTGAAAAGAAGGTTGGTTCAAGTATGATATTGAAATTGAATTACCAACCACCTCAATTTATCTCCAACAATGACTGCAATGTATTTTGGTACTACAACCCCTATGGGGTTGCTAGCACAGAAAATGAAGACTGTCCAAAATCTCTGCTAACTAGAATCCCTTTGTTATGTTATTTCACAGTTCACACAAAAACAAAATAATTGTATGATAAGTCTTATTAACTTATAATTTAAATTGCAAAAAATTTCAGAACCCACCAAATAATGCTTATGTTGTTGCCAAGGGCCTCCATGTGCCATGTGATCCTTCAAACTGTGCCTCACTGACCTCATTTCTTTATATAATGGTATTCCAAGGCCCTGCTTTTCTAATCTATATATGCCGATGGTCATGGATGAAGTCACAAACAAGTGAAGTCCTTAGCATTTCTGAAACATAGAATACTTCCTTCCTACACAAGTCTGTTCAAATCATTCTCTTGATATGCAATGGGTTTCCGTTTGCCTCGTCTTCAAATATCCAGTCATGTCCTAAAGGGTCATCTAACAGTCCTCGTCTTCAATGACAATTTCAATTTTGTAAAGAAGACAAAGTTGAACATTGTAAATATTTTATATATGTTCTTTAACTCAGATTTTTAAAGATGTACCCTGACAGAAATTTATAAACCAAGATTATGGCAACCATTTGTTTCCTGAATTTGGTCATGACCCTTTATTTTAAGTTCTTTGATGGAAGCTTGCCAATTTATTTTACTTGCAGGATCATATTTTCATTAGTGCAGAAACCTTGTAAGTGACTTCCTCTGGAGTCCACTGTTCCTGATCTGCAATCGCACAACCCTCCAACAATTAAGTCCACCATCACTGTAGAGTAGTATCTCTTGGGGAGATGCCATACAATTGAACCCATGAAGATTTTTTTCAGTTTTTCTTATTTCGGTAATTGCAATTACCACTCACACACAACAAGGACATTTAGTTACTTCAAAGCTCAACAATTGACTATCTGGAAGAAATGAAGAATGATTTGCTTGACTGCTTGCATCGGAAGGAGCACCATATTACCTTGAGATTTTTGATCGTGAAAGCTGGAGGTCAGGTACTGAATGAGCCACATATTATCGAAAATCTAGCAACAAGTGGCTAAACCTGTTTCAGGACAAATGTGTTGTGTGTTCCTTGTTTGGCCAATGGATATTAATATTGAAATAAATAAGACAGTAATATTGAGCAATATACGGATTGGTAAATATCTCCTGTAGAATTAGTTCACTTAATCCCCTATTAACAGATAATAGCCATATTATATATATGGACAGAAATTTGATAATCATATTGATGTATATATTAGAATTAATTGAGAATTGGAAAAATTAAAACAAATTAACAATTTCTTGGGTTGGACTCTCATTCAGCAGCAGATTCCTACTTCAAAATGGAATTCTACAAAATAACAAAATGGAAAATCTTTATAATAAAAGAAAAGGCCTTCTGTACACTTCTCCCTATCTAATCTGTCTCAGTCCCCACTACCATGATTTACAAATAATTCAAGTGAGAGGTAACGTTTATGAACTCATCCTCCTGGCATGGAATTGTGAGACCACCAGTTGGATGATCATATCCGAATTCTTCCTGTGCTTGACTAAGTAACTCTTGAAATGAAGGTTGGTTTAAGTATGATACAGGAATCACAAAACGCCTCATCTTATCTCCAACATAGACAGCAAGATAGCCCTTTGGTACTTCAAGCCCCTTGGAGGTTGCATGGGTTGTGATAAACGATGCTCGTTTAATAATACCTGCTATGCGGAAACCCATTGTTTTCTATTGCTTCACACAACAAATAATATACTGATGTCAGAGGACTTGTATACAAGGAAATATTTGGAGTTTTATACTTGAGGAATGGATTGGAATGACTTGTGTTGCTTGAGAAGCAAAGGAATGCTATATATAGTTGTCAATGGCCTTTGCAATCCAAAACTACAATTAATGATCTTTGGCTGGACTAATATGGAGTCTACCGAGAGACATGGGATCACATGGTATTGTCTTAGATATCTCTTTCAAGGATTAGGAAGATCAACGGGAGTGCACACCCCACCTTCTGAGATAATGGCCAACAGATTTTCCCACTTGCTGAGACGTCAGCAATGGTGAAAGCTAGCTAATGTTCTAGCTATTTTAATGGTAGACATGCTTTAGACAACACACATGTTCCTTTAGATAAAAGATAATGCTATTGATATATCTACCATCCACCAGCTAATATCAGACTCGATTTGATTTGGAAGTCGAAAAGAACCGATATTGAACACATGCACAATGACCACATTTTTTGTGTATTCCAAATTTTAAGCACCACCATGTGAACATGCATACATGAAGTTTACGGTCCCATCTGCCCCAAATAAGTGTTGTCATCATCATATTAGATTTCCTTTTAGATAGATACGTGTGTTTTGTTTCAAGTAGGGTAAACTAATGGCTCTAACTTCAAATGGTGGAACTTCTAATATCAACAATAATGTTACCTTGATTCATGGAAGAGTCTCATAAGACATAACCATATGCTCTTGTTTCTCGGTCCCATGACTCCTGTCTAATAGCCCTCCTTCACAAAAAAATTTACCTATATATATTCATGGTTGCTAGAATTTTTGAAGCAACACAACTCCTTCACATCCTGAAGAATAAGAAATCATAAGCCAGACCTTCCAAGTTTCAAGTAATTTTTAGACCATTTTCTTCTCAAGTCTAAACAAATACAATACAACAATGGGTTTTCGCTTACCCGGTATCAGAAAGGCATCATTCGCCTCAAACCAAGCAACTTCAAAAGCAGTGGAGGTGCCAAAGGGATATCTTGCAGTCTATGTTGGAGAGACAATGAAGCGGTTTGTGATCCCCATTTCATACTTGATCCATCCTTCATTCCAAGAATTGTTGAGTCAATCTGAGGAAGAGTTTGGATATGATCATCCCATGGGTGGTCTCACAATTCCTTGCAGCGAAGATGTCTTCCAAAACATAACTTCGCATTTGAATGGTTTATAAAACTCGTACTGTAGAAGTCTGACATAGATTTGTAGAGACATTTTTTACATTAGGCAGTTCTCAATTTGTAAAGATCACCCCTTTTGGAGAAATAGGAAAATGGAAAAGACAATTAGAATGAAAAAAATTGCTCCTTTGTTTTTAGTTTAATGACAATGAATTGAACTACTCATGTGGCTCCTCTGTGATTTCTGTTTATTATTTACATTGCTAACGTCCACTTCACCCTGTATAAGCAAGGTAGCTTGTTACATAGAAAAACCATACTTGGTTGTTCCGATAAATTTTAAAGCATGAATAGAAGTCGTTATTACTAGCAAGGGAGGACAAAATCATCTTTAAATGGAGCAAGTAGAATGATTAGTATTTTTGGAGCATAGTTATTATTTTTTATTAATAAACATTTGAGGATTAAGTATAGCTAGTAAAAGAACACCCTACAAGTTACCATCACCGTGCATGTGAAGAGCATGATTCCTCTTGATAACCTACATAGTGCAACTCTATAAATAGGCTTTAAAACCTCCAATGTAAGAGAATACAGAGAAACAAGAGCCTCCTCCATCAGAGAGCCTTGTATTATTACAATTCTAATATTTCCATTTTTTGTTCAACTAACCTTTTGTTTATCCATCCACTATGACTCGGTTGCTTAACAACTAATATCTGAACCTGACATATCTAAACTCTTATTTTTTATATAAATGAACCTGTGATCTTATATTATAATACAAGGAGTAGAAGCATAGAGAGTTTATCCCACCCTCCAATAAAACTTTCCTTAACAGCTAAACAAAAAGTCTAGGTCAATAAAAGTTAACTATTATTTATGTTATAGAAGGTGATCCCAAAATATTGATACAGATTGATAATGGAGTCATTATTTTTAAATATCATAGATCTAAGTTCTCAGTTTACATTTAGAAAACCGAAATAATAGAAAGGGAGAAATTATAGGCCACGGAGAGTGTTAGTAGCACAACATTTGGGTAATCATTGATTCTGTGTGGATCTTCCCACTAAAATAAGCAGTATCTTCTATTACTGACCGAAATCAATTAATAATCTATGTGATGCTGCTGATTGTTTAGGAAAATTGAAGATTTCACGACCCTTAACTAGAAAATGGAGATGATTTTGCAGTGATGTACTAAAGTAACTAAAGACAAAATTAATACTGTGTTGCTGATTGCAGAAACTATTATAAGCCACAAAACACAAGAATCAAGCAACAAGTGGCTAATGTTTCAGGATAAAAGTGTTGGGTGTTCCATGTTCAGCTCAAGCGCAAACATTGAAATACTACAAGGAAGCAGTAATCAAAATATTAATAAAAGAGGAGATCAGGAGCATAATGAGTCACATATTATAAAAAAAATCTAGCAACAAGTTGCAAAATCTATTTCAGGACAAATGTGTAGGTGTTCCTTGTGAGGCGCATGGTTTATTGGAGTATAGTTTTACTCCTCACTTATATGTATAATAATAGTATAGATTGTTTTATGATCTCCTACTGTATTGTCACATTTATTACAGTTCATTATAGGCTAATAGCCGTTACAGCTGTTGGGTCTATATAAACTCATATTGTACTCCTTATGAAGTTAGTGAAAACATATTTTACATATTGAAATATTCTCTTATCTCTTCTCTTTCGACTTCTCTCTCTCTCTTTCTCTGTTCATAATACTATTATGGTTGAATTTTGAAATACAATAAGGCAGCAGTAATGACCATTATCAAGATCGATATAAATCTCCAAAAGAATTAGTTCACTTAATTCCCATTAAAAGATAATAACCTGATATATATGGGCTGAAATAAGATAATTATACTGTTGTACTTGTACATATAAGAAATAATATTGAGATTTGGAAAAGGAAAATGTGTTTAAAAAATGTCTTGTGTTGCATCCTCATTCAGCAACAGGTTTAAACTTCTAAATGGAATATTCTACAAGATAACAAAATGAAAAATCTTTACAATAGAAGAAAGTGCCTTCTGTACAAATATCCTCATCTAATCTATCTTAATATCTATTAGCATGATCTACAAATCATTCAAGCAAGAGGTTAAGTTCAGGAACTCATCCTCCTGGCATGGAATTGTGAGACCACCAGCTGGATGATCATATTCGAATTCTTCTTCGGCTTGACTAAGTAATTCTTGAAATGAAGGTTGGTTCAAGTATGATACGGGAATTACAAACCGCCTCATCTTATCTCCAACATAAACTGCAAGATAGCCTTTTGGTACTTCAACACCCTTGGATGCACCTTGCGTTGTAGAAAACGATGCCCGTCTAATAATACTTGCTATGCAGAAACCCATTGTTCTCAATTGCTCCACACAACAAATAGTATACTAATGTCAAAGGGCTTGTATAAAGAAGTGTTGGGATAAAAACAAGTCTCATATTGATAAAATAAGAGAAAAAATAACAACTTATATAATCAAACATACTTCAATGATTGAGAGGGTTTTTTGGGTAATGACCAAAAGCAAAACTACGAGAGCTAAGGCCCAAAGCGGACAATATCTCATCATTGTGGAGTATGTTTGTGTAATAACCTTATGAAAACAACTCTCATAAAATATCCCCTCAGACAAATACCATAAAAAATAACCCCAACTCTGGTATCAGATCCGCAGGTTGGATAAAGACGTCCCTTGTTTGAGGGGAGGATTGATAAAATAAGAGAAAAAATAATAACTTATATAATACAAACATACTTCAATGATTAAGAGGTCTTTTTGGGTAAATGACCAAAAGCAAAACCGTGAGGGCTAAGGCCCAAAGCGAACAATATCTCATCATTGTGGAGTATGTTTGTATAATAACCTTATGAAAATAACCCTCATAAAATATCTCCTCATACAAATACCATAAATAATAACCCCAACAAAAAAGAAATATTTGATTTCTAGTACCTTGGGAATGTATTGACTTGTGTTTCTTGAGAACCCAAGAAATGTTGTATATATTGCCATTCCACTCTAATCCAAAGCCACGATTAATGATTTTTGGCAGGGCGATGATGGAGTCTACCAGGAGATATGGGATCACGTGGTACTGTCTTAAAAATCTCTTTTAAGGATTAGGTAGTTCAACGGGAGTGTATACCTCACCTTCTTAGATAATGGCCCAACAGATTTACCCTCTTGATATTAAAGACATCAACATCAACAAATACGGAGCCCAATGCTTGTTCATTCATTATGCAATAGCTATTTCAATGAGAGACATGTTTTAGACATATCAAATTTTTCTTTAAATAAAGGACAAAACAAGTGATATATCTTTCATCCACCAATTAATATCAGACTGAAAACCATGAGCAGGCACAACTGGAATTGGAAGTAATTTAGAAGAGAACCGATGTCGAACACGTAGTCATGAAGCACTACGCATCACATTATTTGTGTACGTCAAATATTAAGCACCACCATGTGAACTTGCATGCATGAACATGTGTTATTTTGGGTGGCATAATCGGAAAGATTTCACTCCAGATGGTGGGACTTGTATTATCTACCATAAGTCCATAACCTGTAACATTGACTCATGAGACAGTCCTCAAAGACAGTACCATGTGATCTTGTCTCTCAGTTGGTCTCATGATTCCTATTCCTGTCTCACACCCTTCATTCAACAATAATTCAAGTAGACTTCGTACATATCTTTTATCTATATATATTCATGGTTTCTAGCATTTTGGAACAAACACAAAACATTCACAGCCTAAAGCATTTGAATTATTCTTAAGCCTGAACATTCAAGTATTTTTTATTCAATTTTCTTCTCAAGTCTCGGCCTCTTAAGTATAACAATGGGCTTTCGTTTACCTGGTATCAGAAAGGCAACAGTAGCTGCAAACCAAGCATCTTCTAAAGCTATGGAGGTACCAAAGGGTTATCTTGCAGTGTACGTTGGAGAGAGAATGAAGCAGTTTGTGATCCCCATTTCATACTTGATCCAGCCATCATTCCAAGACTTGTTGAGTCAAGCAGAGGAAGAGTTTGGATATGATCATCCCATGGGTGGACTTACAATTCCATGCAGCGTAGAGGTCTTCCAAGACATAACTTCAACCTTTAATTGACTACAAGTCTAGTACCGTAGAAGACTGACCAAGATTTATATAGACATTTTTTACATTAGTCATCTCAATATGTAAAGATAACCCCTTTTTGAGAAATTGGAAAAATGAAAAGACCATTAGAATGACGAATTTCTTCCTATCTTTTTTTCTCTCTCTCGTTTTTTATGAATATCAATGAATTCCACTAATCAAGTGGCCTATTTCAGTTTATTAGTTACATTGCGCAATGCATACCAACTTAAATATTTGGGATACCAAGGCCCTGATCACGCATATAGATAAATGAACCTGGAATCTTATGACACTGCCTCCCAATAAAATTTCCCTTAACAACTAAATAATAGGTCCTCATTTATGTTATAAAAGTGTCATCCCAAATATTAATAATAGTTTGTTACAGTATTCTCATCCATATAAGATGTTTTTATTTCTAAAGGAATGATAAAAAGAAGAAACTTAAATGGAAAATCTTAAAAATGAATGAAAGTTCATTCTGTTCAAATTTAACTCAGCATAATATGTGATCTTTCATTCTTCAATAGTTACAGCCTGATCAAACAAGAAGTGAGGCATGGGTAATCATCTTCCGTGAATGTAATCGTGAGATCACCCCTAGGAGGTTGCTTGCACAGAAAATGAAGACTGTCCAAAATATCTGCTTACTTGAATCCCTTTGTTATGTTATTTCACAGTTCACCCAAAATTAAAATAATTGTATGATAAGTCTTATTAACTTCTTATAATTTAAAATGCAAAAATTTTCAGAACCTACAAAATAATGCTTATGTAGTTGCTAAGGGCCTCTATAAAAGCATGTGCCATGTGATCATTTACTTCTGTGCTTCACACTGACCTTATTTCTTTATATAATGGTATTCTGATGCCTCTCTTAATCTTTATATACCGATGGTCATGAATACAGTCAGAAACAAGTCGAGTCCGTATCATTTCTAAAAAATGGAATACTTCCATCCTCAAATCATTCTCTTGATCTGCAATGGATTTCCGTTTGCCCGGTCTTCAAAGGTGCAGTCATGTACCAAAGGGCTATCTAACAGTCCTGATCTTCAATGACTATTTAAATGTTGTACAGAAGACATAGTTGAACATTGTAAATATTTCAAATTGACCCTTGGAGAGGGCTTTGGTCATGATATCTACAATCTGTTCCTCAGAGCTGCAATGCTCCAACCTGATTTCATTTTATTTCTCTACTTCTCTAATGGCATGAAACTTCACATTAATGTTCTTTGTTCTTCCATGTTGGATAGGATTTTTAGCAATAGAAATAGCATATTTGTTATCCACTCAAATGACAGTAGCTTCATCTTGAATCTGCCCCACATCTAATAAAATCTTTCTCAACCAAATGGCCTGATTTGCAGCAGCTGCAGCTGAAATATACTCAGCTTCATCTAAAGATTAAGCCACAACATTTTGTTTCTATGAATTCCAAGCAAAAACAGCACTGCCAAATGAAAACACATATCCAGAGGTGTTTTTAGAATCATCAATACTTCCTGTCCAACCACTATCTGCATATCCTTGAAGTTCTCCACTTTCATTTTTTAAGAAATACAAACCATAATCAGTTGCACTTCTTATATATCTCAAAACTCTTTTTGTTGCACCAAAGTGAACTTAACTTGGAGAATGCATGAATCTGGAAAGCAAACTTGCAGCAAACATTAAATCTAGTCTGGTTGTGAAAGATACAACAAACTTCCAATTATACTTCTATAAACAGAAGCATCTGCACTATTTTCACCATCATTCTTTGAAAAATTTTCATTTGCAACCAGTGGAGTAGCAACAGACTTGCATTTCTCCATATGAAACTTCTTCAATATCTCCAAAGCATATTTTCTTTGTGAAATGAATATTTCATCGTTTTGCTGAGAAATCTTCATTCCATAAGAAAGTATTTCATTTCACCCAAGTTAGTCATTTCAAATTCTTTCTCCATGTCCTTCTTAAATTGGTTTAAGAAATTTGATTCATTTCATATAACCAATAAATCATCAACATACAAAGACACAATGAGTTGCACTTCATTGTTTGACTTCTTCACGTACAAGGTGGCTTCATTTTCACTTCTTTTGAATTCTTTTTGCAGAAGATAACCATCAATTCTGCTATACCAGGCTTATAAACTTTATCTTCACTTCCTGGAACCTGAAAAACTTCAGGTTGATCAACATATTTGTCTTCATCAAGAAATCCATTTAGAAAAGCTAATTTTACATCAAAATGATAAATTTTCCAGCCAAGCTTTGTTGCCAAAGAGATCAGTAATCTGATTGTATCATGTCTTGCAACAAGTGCAAAAGTATCAGAAAAATCAACTCCATATTGTTGGAAGTAACCTTTTACCACCAATCTAGCCTTAAGTTTGTTTATAGAACTATCAGGATTGAGTTTAGTTCTATAAACCCACTTAACACCAATCACTTTTTTATTACTTAGCCTATCAACAAGTTGTCAAGTTTTATTTTTCTCAATCATCTTTATCTCCTCCTTCATGGCAGCTCTCCAACTTTCAAACTTAGCAGCTTCTTCATACCTTGTAGGCTCCAATGCAGTAACATTACATCTTGCATAAATATCCTCCAAGGTTCTTGTACCTCTCACTGGAAATTCAGTGTCACTATTATAGTTATCTTCATCATCTTCAGAATCTTGCTCTTGCAAAGTGTTTTCATCAAATAGCCCTTTACTTGAGCCTTCTGCTTGATGTTTCTTCCAATTCCATTTTGAAAACTCATCAAATTTTATATCTCTGCTAACAATAATTTTTTTTGTCTCCAAGTTGTATACTCGGTATCCTTTGGAGTTGATACTGTATCCCAAAAAAGTACTAACTTCACACTTATGATCAAGTTTATCTCTTTTCACATTTGGAACATGAGTGTAACACACACAACCAAATATTTTTAAATGCTCCACTAAAGGCTTCTTTCCACACCATGCTTCATAGGGTGTTTTACCCTTCAATGCTTTGGTAGGCAATAAATTCAGCAAGTAAATTGAGGTATTTACCACCTCAGCCCAAAAAGTCTTTGGAAGACCTTTCTCAAAGAGCAAACACCGAGCCATCTCCATCACTATTCTGTTCTTTCTTTCACTCACTCCATTTTGTTGAGGAGTGTAAGGAACGGTGAACTGATGTTGTATTCCAACTTGATCACAAAACTTTTTAAATTCCCCTGCTGTATACTCAGTTCCATTGTCAGATCTGATTTTTTTAATTTGAAAACCAGCTTCATTTTCAACCATAATCTTAAACTTCTGAAATGTAGCAAACACATCTGATTTTTGTTTTAGAAAAAAAACCAACTCATTCTTGTAAAATCATCTATAAATAGCAAAAAACATTTGCTACCATTTAAAGATGCTATGCGCATTGGACCACACACATCAGTATGGATAAGCTGTAATTTTTCCATAGCTCTCCAACTTGTTACTACAAGGAATGGCAATATATATTGTTTTCCAAATTGACACACATCACACACATCAACATCATCTTTTATGGAAGGTATTTTTGAATTAAGCCATTTGAGCTTATTTGCTTCAAGGAGGAGTAACTAAAATGACCAAGTCTTTTGTGTCATAAAACAGAATCATCTACTGAACTTGGAAAAGCATGCATAGTAGGTTGCTTCCATTCTATTGGAATATCTCTCATTTTGATAGACATTAGCTCACACCCCAAAGGATCAAATATGGTGCATTTCATGTCTTCAAAATGCAAAGTATAATTCTTTTCAAGCATTTGTCCCACACTTAAGATTTTGATTTATCTCAGGTACGTATAAAACATTTGAAACATATTTAGTACCTGAAGAAGTTTATACAACAATAACTCATTTGCCTTTAACTTCAATACTTTCTCCATTGCCAACAGTGACTTTTGAGAAGTGAGATTGATCCAATGAAAATATTTGCATCATTAGTCATGTGATTTGTGCATCCACTATCTATAAGTCACACCTCCTTGCTCCTGTTTGCTAAATAACAAGAAGCATCAAATAAACGCTCCTTATTTTGTTCTTCGTGCTCAAAAACTTGGGCTTGTTGTCCCTGTTGCTTTACTTTGCTTTTGCACACTTTCTCCACATGACCAAGTTGGTTGCATGCCCTGCATTTGACTTCTGGTCTAAAACAACAAAAAATTTATATATAATTCTTCTTCTTACAGTAAGAGCAAGGTGGATACTTGTCTTTCCAACCTCCTCCTCTATTGCTTTCTTCTTGTTTTTTTTCTTTTCCAATTTCTTCCCACTAAATGGATTTTCTCCGCAACTACTGCTGCATTGAAATTTACCTTTGGTATTAACCATAAAAGAACCTTCAAAATTTTCTTCCATCCTTAAGGATATTCTCTGTTCAGTGGCTTGTAAAGCATTTACAAGTTCTGAAATTGATATATGAGAAAAATCCTTATTTTCTTCAAGAGAGGAGATTTTTGACTCAAACCTCTCTGGAAGACATACTAATATTTTCTCCACAACTCTTTGATCACTAAGTTCTTCACCCAATAATCTGATTTGTGTAACCACTTTAGAAAGCCTGTCAACAAACTCCTTCACTGTTTCAGCTTCCTTCATTTTGATAGCTTCAAATTCTCTTCTCAAATTTAGCATCCTCCTTGTTCTTTCACTGCCTTGGAACTCCTCTTTGAGTTTGTCCCAATCGTCTTTTGCTATATCAAGATTCAAAATCTTGATAAAAACATCATCATGAATAGCCGCTTGAATGATGGAAAGTGCTCTGCCTTCTTTAGCCATTTCATCACTATGAAATATTACCTGAGCCATTGTTGGGTTATCTGGTAAAGGAGTTGGGTTGCTTCCATTTTCCACCACTTCCCAAAAACTTTGAGCTCTAAGATAAGTTCTCAACTTTGAAGCCCACAAATCATAATTTTCTCCAGCAAATACTGGAGGTGGAGGTAAGGAATTGCTACCGGAAGCCATTGGTTGAAGGTTTTTTGAGTGGGTTTCTTGTTGGCTTTCTCTCACACACAGATACTCTATTTTTTCAGATTTTCTTTTTCTTTCTCCCTCACAGACCCTAAAAGATCAATGAAGCTC